AATAATAATAATCCAGGATATGAAGACTACAAAAATTTAGGAATCAACTTATATCCTAACCATTTCTGATTCTTCTAAGTTTTTATATCCTGATTAGTACAAGCCATTTTATGGATAATTCGTCATTTCGACAGGTAGGTGACAGGGCTTGAGAAACATTTCAAACTCGGTTTTTTTCCAATTGCCTCCAACTATGGAAAGGTCCAGCACAGCTTCTATAGACAATAAAAATACTGCTACATATTGCTACATTTTGTTAGCAATAATGTTATTATGAAAATTTGTTACATGGACAGTGTTGTCATATATCCACAAGGCCCATCAATGAAAAATGAACTGAAAAACTATAAATAATCAAAATTCATAGATGATACTGAGAATATCGTGTAAGTATTATATATTTTTCAAAAGCGCAAAGCATCATCCCAGGTAGAACATCATATTGGCTCAAACTTGGTCTCACATTAGCTCAATATTCGAATATTGAATATGGAAATACTAGATTGTCTATTTCAATATTCGATCACCATTCCAGTGCCAATGTTGCGGTAACATTAACATTTCGTGAACAGCCGATATCAACTTGCCATTATTCATTCGATATTGATGAAATATCAACGATAACAATATGTCATTGTTCATGATGGAATGATATTGTATTTCCAAAATCGAATCAATCTTGGGAAAAAAATTGCATCAATATCCGATTAGTGATAGTTAGTGAATATTGCATTTCATTGTCCAGCAATATTGCACTGCTTTTCAATTTCAATTCGATATAATGAAAATAATATCACATCTATACCATTTCTGGATTGATTTCAATATCGAATCAATATTATTGAAATGATATTCCTTCTATATTATGTTGGAGAAGATTATTATTATTTCAATATTATTTTCATATTTGTATTTGAAGACATTTGCATCATGGCTGGAAGAAATAGCTAGTGGAGCAAGTTTTGTCTCAAGACCAATAAGATTTTATAATGAGCAGCCAGCAAATTTTAGAGGAAAAGGTGAAACAAGCTTAGTAACTGCAGAAAATAAGCCGAGAGAATGCATCTACTAGAAAACAATAAGCATAGCCATTCAATAACAAAATGTAAATATTTTTCTGATATATCATTGGATGAGAGATGGAATTGGGTGAAAACAAATAAAGTCTGCTTTGCCTGTCTAAGACCAAATCATCAAATACAGTTTTGTATAAACAAAAACGTGAATGTGGTGAAAATAGTCGCAAGAAAATCCAAAAAATCATCAGTAAGTGAATGTTAAATGTTTCAGTTATCACCACCCTGTATTGAGATATGTTTTTAGATATCAAGTAGTAGTATAAAATAATGATGAATTGTCATATGTTATGAGATAAAATACATTTTCATTTATGAGCCATAGTTTTTTATATAATATTCAATTCAGTCTAATAAACATATAAGCCACATTATAAGACAAACAATGTTCATGATGTGATGATATTGTATTTCCAAAATCGAATCGATCGTGGAAAAAATATTGCATCAATATCCGATTCATGATAGTTAGTGAATATTGCATTTAATCGTCCAGCAATATTGCACTGATATTGGCTTTTTAATTTCAATTCGATATAATGAAAATAATATCACATCTATACCATTTCTGGATTGATTTCTATATCGAATCGATATTATTGAAATGATATTCCTTATATATTATGTTCGAGAAGATTATTGAATATTGCATGATATTTGCTACGAATAATATTTCCATATTTGTATTTTCTGTCAAGCCAATATTATTAAATGAATGTACCACCTCCTAGATTAACCTACAGACAGTATTTGAGCCAATATTAGTTCATCAATATGAGACCCATTTCAGATAAATATAACTAATGAAATCTCGCAGAACCAATATTGCACTGATATCGGTTCCTCAATATCAAATCGATATTTGTAGTATTTATTTCGTTATTTGAGCGACGTTATAACAGGTGGTGCCACTAGCACGTCTTCAACAAACGACTGCTCAGAGGGATCAAATACTGCAGCATTCGTTTCACTTGGTATCCCCGGATACAGAGAATGAAAATGGATCTGATACATCATGCTCATGTATCATTGTACCAATATCACAATTATTTATCTATGAGGCTGATATGGCTCCGAATTTTGAATTCAAATTTTATAACGAAAACGAAATGCAATATTGATCGGATATAATAATTCAACATGAAGATAATATTTCAAAATAAACACATCAAGAAAAATTCCAATACCTACCTCCTGTCCCTATCCTTCCTAGGAACGCACGATGTTCTTTGAACATTATAGGGATTTTCTTTCGTGCGCAACAAGCGAATAAAAAAATCCTAATTCTGCGCATTCGGAAGCTCATATCAAGAGCCTTCGGGAATTTTCAAAATTATTTCTAGTTTTTGAGTTGTATCGAGAAAGGTGAATTTTTGGAATATCTATTCAATTTTTTTCCTCCGTTTTTATTAGAGATACAGAAGAACTGAACATACTTTTGCATAGCAACTTTTGAAGACGTTGAACGTGGTGATACCGATTTTCGTATCCGTAAAACCATCATCAACTATTGTTTTTTCAATACGGACCTGATATTTTTCAAGTTTTTTATAGTTTGAATTCAACCATGTATTATATACAAGGTGATTCGAATGTGTTTCGACCTATTTCCATCCATCATCAATGTTTTCTCGAACTTCCAAAGGAAAAGTGCCATCAGTTCCACTCATTTCTGATCATTTAGTGTCAAACATTGATGGATTAGTTATTCAATACCGAGAAGTGGATAAAAAATATTACACTACATCATTCGATGCAGCGTTTGAAATTGTTGATGAATTGATGATGTTGATGAAATTCTTCAACAACTTGAGTTTGACAATACCTACAGAAACATTTATAACAAATGTTCAAAATGATAAACATTATTTTCTGAACATATTCTCACAGTTGCTTCTAAGACATTACAAAGCATTTCTGGGGTTATTTTATTGAATGCTCCGATGACACTGTCCCTTAGTTCTTTTCCATCATCAAAGTTATTTGCGTATACGAAGTTTTTGATATATCTGCTAAGAAAAAATCCAGCTGTGTCAAATCAGGCGACCGCGCCGGCCATGGACTGTAGAATGAGTATCAATTCATTTTTCTGGATAAAAACGCACGGACTTCTCTGGAATTATGTACCGGATCTTGTTGAAACCAACAGTTCTGAACTTCCGCAATCGGTAAATCATCCGGAGCTTCCTCAAGATGATTCTCAAGCAAATTTCTATTACGTTCGGAAGTCTGTATTCCATGGTTTATAAAAGGACAAATAATTCGTATACCAAATATTGCAACCCACATGTTGAAGCCGAAACGGTGTTGGTGTCTCGCTGGAATGTATAATTGTTAATTTTCACGTGAAAAATAATGTGTATTTTTTCTATCGAAGATACCATGATTAGCGACCATGCTTTTATCAGTCCAGATGATTGTTCGAGGGAAATCTGCAAAATTTTGACATTTTCTGGTATATACCACTCACAGAATGTCCTGCGCATTTCGTCTGGTTTTAGCGCTTGACATATTCTGAATTTGTATGGATGGAATTTCTGTTTCCGCAAAATGAAATGGGTTGTTGATTGGAACCAGTTGATGATGTATTAGTGTGCTGACTAATTCTCCTTCAAAATAAGTGGAACTGATGGCATTTTTCCTTTGGAATTTCGAAAAAACATTGATGATGGCTAATACTAGGTCGAAACACACATAAACCACCTTGTATAATACATGGTTGAGTTCAGAATAAAAAAAATGTCAGAATCTGTAAAGAAATCATCAGGACCGTATTTGAAAAACAAAAGTTGATGATGGTTCTACGAATACGGAACGTCGTATGGAGAAATCGGTATCACCACGTTAAACGTCATCAAAAGTTGCTATGAAGGAGTATTTCCAGTTTTTCTGTATCTCTGATAATGACAAAGAAAACAAAAATATATATTCCAAAAATTTTCTATTTTCGATATAACTCAAAAACTGAAAATAATTTCAAAAATTTCTGAAGGCTCTTGATATGAGCCTCCGAATAGGCAACTTTTCCCCATTTAATGGACTTCGTATCTCCTACCGTTTTCGAGATCCCCATGCTGTTCAACCTTATCTTGGACAGACTGTATGGAAGGCAAATATGAATTCAATATCGAATCAACATATGAGAATTATGAGAAACAGGTTTCTTTGAGTTGTCATAATCTCTTTGTCCAATCTTGTATACGAATATAAACGCGATATTGGATAGAGCATATCGAGACAAGATTTGAATTCAACATAGCACCAAAATTCCAAAATTTTTACATTCATTCATTGGTGTAATATTTAAAATCAATATTTCAACATAATTCACTTTCCATTGGTTCATATTCAACCAATATTAGTGTTCTACCTGCGATGGTTACTAATATAAAAAAATATATATGATGCTCTTAAAAAATATAACTTTGGGTAACATCTGAGTAATTATTTCAAAAATCTGAATACGCCACTGGATTTCACGTACAAGAATGTGAGAGATACAGTCCTTACTTTTCTGATGAGTCGAAAAATAGCTGCGATAGAAGAGGGTGGTCCCAAATTGCAACATTTTCAATTTCGCCCTGTATCTCAAAAACGAACTCAAGCAAAAACTGCAAATCTTCATCTTTGAAAATAAGTGACATTTGACGTATGGACATCGAAAATTGGATAGCGTGTACAAAAGTCTATCGAGAATCAAGTCCAGAGAATCGAATTATTTTCTCAGTGTAGCCCATGAACATTTCTCTCAGTGTACGACTCACAATATCGCGAATACCTCCGCACAACCGAAACCCTTCGCGAATCCCACCCCGTCTACAAGAGGGTAGTTTTATTGATTTCCCGTGACATCACGGGGGTTGCTAGGAAACCTGACGCCGGCGCCACGACGCTAGACCGATCGACCCCCAGCCAGCATTGCACCCTCGCGTTCGGAAATAGTCGCTCACAAATGTTTTGAAAAAAGTGCGAAAAAATGGGTACTGTGCTAAGCTTTTCCCCCCGCGAGAGACGACCCGTTTACAGTACCACATCCACCGGAGATTTCACGCTGAACAATTTCTCGTACGAACAGTTGAACAACGTGAAGAACCGCGAAAGTAAAGCCACCATAGCCAACCCCAATTTGTGCAACAACATCAACAACAATGAGAACGCCAGGATCATCTCGGAAAAGAACGCGCTGGAGAAGAACCTGAAGAAACACTCGCTGTTCATCAACGCGCTATCATGGAAGCGATTCTCCACCACGAACAACAACAAAAAGAAACTTGACAACAACAAGAACAAGAACATCACCGTCTACAGACAACCGTTAGTAGATAACGTCCACCCAGTAATAGAAAAGAACAAGAACATTCACCAAAACCCTACCAGCAAACATGGCACAGCCTACTACTCCAATTCCAAGAGCACATCGGCGTTGGCCTTGGACATAGTCAGGGCAAACAATGCGAATAACAACACCAACATCAACGGGCCTTGTGATAAGGTAGGTAACAAGCAGGCTGTGTTGGGGCAAAGATCGCTCAATTGTCAGAACCAGGTGGTTCCTGTGGCTGTTCCCAGGAAGACTGTCATCCAGGCGAGCACCTCGGAACTGCTGAAGTGTTTAGGTATGTTTTTGCACGCCAAGTGCTACAAGCTGAAAGACTTTCAGGCTGGGGACGCTGTCATGTGGTTGAGGACGGTGGATAGGAGTTTGCTGCTGCAAGGATGGCAGGTAAGCAGATCAAATTCATTTCAATACAGCGTGATATACAGGGTGTTTTTTAATGTCATGTTCATATTGTGGGAGGTAATTCATTGGCTTAGTTTTGGTCTCAAAGATTCTATAAAAGTTCCACTTGTAATACCACTATGGGTTGAATTAGTCTAGTCGAGGAAGAGGGTCAATCTTCACTTGTAATACCACTAGAGGTCAAATTCCCGGAGAGGCATTCGATAAGAAAATTCAACACCACATTGTGTTTAGAAATTGAATAATCTTAGAATTCATTCGTCCATTCGATTTGCATACAGGTTCATGAATACATTTAGTTTGAGTCGCAGTTTCGTCACCAATAATAGATTCCTGATTCCTACCTATTATATTCGCATGAAAATACTGGTTTCGAATGTAACATATTATATTCTTCCATTTTATATTAACTCCGGGATACTACAAGTGATGAGAAATTATAATTTTGTCAATTAATTTTTTATAGGTATAGGTTTATACTAGTAGTAGTAGGGGAAGGCGGTTGCCTTGCAAGTAGGCCCCAGTAAGCCTTTTTTGCCGATTCCTGCTGCACACGTCATGTGCTCATAATATCTTCTATATTCCTTCACCTAATTCTCTTTTTCGAACCTCCGTGGATTTCTGATGAAGGTCAGTATGTCCGTCCACCTCAGTAATTTGATCTTCCTGTTGAAGCGTATCAGTACCAGAGATTTCAATTTCTATATAATAGATGCAGTTAGGGCATCAATGGATTCTTAGCCTATTGATTGTTGATCTCTACCTGATTGTAGTGGCACAAAATCACCATTTTAGGACGTCAAAATATTATTCTGTCATTCTGATTTCATACGCTGGTGAGTACCCACGAGAGAAAATGTCCACATACAATGCATACGTTGCTATGATAATTTGTTATAAAAACCCGATTCCACTCTATGAATTTTGACTCATTATATCACGAGAGCTTCAATTATTTCCGAGAATTTTTCCGAGAACACGAATATTTTGAAAATTCTCCCAAGTCGAAGAAGAGGGGGAATTTTCTAAATATTCGTGTTCGTGAAGGAATTCCCGGATATAAATTCAAACTGAAGTGGTATTCGGTGAGAAAACTTTCACAACATACATTTTCGATCGATTTGAAGCGAAGGAATCTCAACAACACTTAGATGATTCAGTTGAAAATGATGGTTGTTTTTGATGAAATGTAAGAACTAACGTATAGTAACATGTGTTTTCTTAAATTACGAATTTGCAAGTATTCCTTCTATAATATTATATGTTGAACTATTGATAATAGTTATTTATTATACAAGGGAAAAAAGTAGTAGATTTTAGCTCCAGGTTGTGTTGTCTCCCGACGCGTAGCGGAGGAAGACAACAAACCGTGAGCTAAAATCTAACATTTTTCCCGTGTATAATACACTATTTTTTTTTGTGACAGAAGAAATAACGAATCAATTATTAATATTACATTATTTTGATATCTGAAAATTATCGACGTGAAATTTTAAGTTTTTATCAGTAGGGACACCGCGTTGTAGGCATCTTTATCATTCATTTGAAGTAATCAAATATCTGATGTCACTTCTGTCAGTCTAATTTTGTGATTTTATTCCAAGAAATTCAGTGGTTATTTAGCAATATACGTAACCGCGAAGTCGAATGGATGATAAAAGGACTTGCAGTTCTTTCTCGGAGACGGTATTATTGACTCATTTTTCAGAACTATAGCACAACAGAAACCATCAACAGTGTATATATATGTGATATATATCCGGAAAGAAGTACTCACTTTTTTCCCACGGGAAAAAAGTAATTTATGAAAAGTGACATTTTATAACCTGCCAACAGGGATGAAATGCCAAACTTTTTTCCCGTCACAGAAAAAATGATTTTTATTCATTAACTCATAGAATGAACTCGAAAAAATCTGAAGTTGAAAGTAAATTCATTCAGTTGCTATGGTAACGATACGAAATACAGGCTTTAAATTGATCGAAAATGTTTGGTGTGAAATCTTCGAAATAATTCAACCTCGTGTTATATTCGGTGAGAAAACTTCAAACTAGATTGTATGTGGAAATTAAATAATTGTGAAATTTATTCACTCATTTGATTTTCATATAGGTTCATGGATAAATCCAGTTTGAATCGCAATTTTAGCACCAATAATAGTTTCCTAGCTCATACCAACTGCTAATTTTTACGTATTGTATATGAACTTCGGGGTACTACAAGTGGTAGCAAATTATAATGCCATCAATTAGTTCTTTATAAGTAGGTTCACATACATATAGTAGTAGTAGTAGTAGTAGTAGTAGTAAAGGAGGAAGCGGTCGCGAGTAGGCCCTTGTAGGCTCATTTTGCTGTCCCCTGCTGAACACACATCTGCTCTCACTTCTTCTTATTCCCCTCCAAGAACCTCTGTGACCTTCTGATAAAGGTCAGTATGTGCGTACGCCCACTTTTAGTTAATACCCACACAGCACAGTATCGTTTCAGAAATATTGCAGGAATATAATTCAGACAGATTTGAAATATTTTTGTTTTATTGCAAAACATTGATGAAATATTCCAGAAATATTGCTAAAATATCTAAATGTCCGCCCCAAAATCTAACATGAAATATCGCAGATATATTTGATAATATATCCGAACAATATTTCAGAAATAAAATGCAATATCTAATCTATATTTGAGATACTATATAGAAATATTGAGAATTTTCATATACAGGGTGTCCCAAACAACATGTAATAAATTATACAGGGTGGATTATAATTCAAAATAGGCCGACGGATGATATTTTTTTCAGATTGACTTGAATATTTTGGAATCCTTCAAAGGTATATATCTTTTTTGAATAAATCAGCATTTCGTGACAAATGACAACTTGTGGCGGGCGAAGTGCTGATTTGGCGAAAGATTGAGGACTGAGTGACACTGACCGTGAAAAACGTCAAATGTCAAATTGTTACTGTCGCCCGTGCCTAAATCACACAATGTAGTCAATTCTCATTGGCCGCAATTAGTCGGAAATGTATCATGTGCTTCATTGTGACCAATGAAATCTTCATTATATATCAGGTGATCGATCTGAACAGGAATCAGAAGGATCAGGAATACAATTTCTGTCAAAACCATAGATTGATAGTATTATATAAGTGGTATAATAATATACTCGATAATGTCAAAACCATGGTGTCAAAACTAGAGTCAAAATCATAAATTTATAACCATATATAACTGAGTTCCATTGGTAAAACCAGTGCACACTCATTTATATTCTGTCATTCATCCTCGAATGAACATTTTATAAAAAAATATTTCAGTATTCAATATTGCTGCAATATTTTTTGAAGATTGCATGATTTATCCAAGAAACAATCAATTATTTCAAGCTATATCTTGATATTATAATGCAAATATAAAAAATAAACTTGTTTATGAACGTCGCAATCATATGACAATACAAATTTGTGTCTTTGCTGCAATCTTTCGAAATATTGAAATTGCAATATACCAATATGATATTTCTGCAATATATCTGAAATATTGCAAATTTACCTGCAATATTGTAATATTGTGGCAATATTTGTTGAATCTTCCTGTTGAAGAGCATCAGCACGAAAACTTCAATCCCAGCATTATTCCATCAAAAGCCTTACACTGGCTCAGGTAGTGGTGTGACATTCTATATAATAAATGCAGTTTGGTCACAATGGATTCTCAGCCTATGTACCCTGCAGTGGTGACCTGCGGTCTCTCAGACCGACCAGAATCATTTTTTTTTTTGATTTTGGCGCTGTTGCGCGATCCCCTCTTCACTGCTTCTTTCAAGTTTAAACCTTTTTGGGTCTCTTCACGCACTGTAAACCAGATTGTTTTCGGATTGTCATATCGACGTCACCAGTGGATTGTTGATTTCAACTAATTGTAGTAGCACAAAATCACTATTTCAGGACGTCAGAATATCATTCTGTCATTGAAACGACGAGAAGATGTCCGATTCATTTCGCTGGTCGGCTCAAATACATGAGTTCCCATAGTGGTTTGTCAAAGATACCCAATTTGGTTAGGTGAGGAGTTTCCTCTGGAATTGCTTTGTTTTCGGAATATAGGCCGTCAAAGTCGAAAATGCTCATAGATTCATATTTTGTCTATCCTGTATAGCTTTTCGTGATGGCGAAATTCATTCTGTTATGTGACTGACATTTCAATATAATACATATGAGATCGTTATCTACTGATTTGAATGTATGTGTTGAGTGAAGTACTCACAGCATTTACATCGAAATTTGGAGTCTATTCTCGTTTTTTTGATCATTCTAGAAAACGGTGAGTCTTATCCAGTGAAGGATGTAATATCTCCAAGTTTGTTTGGTGAAATATTGAATAGTTTAGGGCTATGGAAAAAAATAGTATTCTGAGTGACTGTTTTCTTCAAGGATTTGATTCTCATTTTCTCTTGAATGTCTTTGTGGAATCTGTTCGTTTATGGAACATTCTTATTACCTTAGCGGTGATAAGTGTCAGGTGAATGAATATTCATTATATTGTTCTCTTGATATAACTCTCCTGTTGAAAACAGTCTATTTTTTTGGAGATGAGTTTCAATACAATGTTTTGGGCTCTCAGTATTTTTGAATTCCACACCTCAAGGAGAAATACAATATTTCATTATATATCCGGCGAGTCAGGTATGGAGTGTAAGAAGATTTCTTTTTGATAGTATGTCAGGTACTTCGTAGAAAGTGTGCATCAATACTCCGAGACTTTTCTTAAAAAAGTTGTTTCGCTACGTCTACTTAAGGTGTTTTTATACAGGGTGTTTCACAATTGAATGCTGATCCCAAAGGGCGATAATCCTTTGATAATTCCAAGAAAAATTCTTCATGTGAACATAGGTCCGTAACAGCTTCGTTTCTGAGATACAGGATGTGAAATTCAACAAAAAAATCAGTTATTCCCCAATATCTCTGAAACCGCTTTGGCTT